GAGAGAGAGAGAGAGAGAGAGAGAATAAAAAATATATATATAGAATAAAAAATTGACTAAATAATATAATAAAAAACACTAAATATTATAAATTAGCTATCATAAATCAGTTTTTTGAACACTTACTATTGCTACTGTATATTCACACTACACTGAGAGAGTAGAGTGGTGAAAAAATAACAAAGTGGAGATAACAATCGATATTTAATTTAACACGTTGTCGTTGTTAAACTTGACATCATGGGTGTTATATTTACACCTGCACTTTTTTTGCAAAGGGACTTGTAATTTTGTATAAGCTCTCTCAGGCGCTTCCGGTGAACAGTCATAACCTTTTTAACTCACCACATTTACCTGCTATGTTAAAAATAATTTTCACTGCCTGATTGAATTGTGATATAAAGTACATCTCCGACTGAACAAGATTTACAGCATTAAATTACACTGTTCTGCACCATATTTTTTATAATATGAACATTTATTTTAACAGTATTTTCGATAGAGTTTCAGCGCTCGCCTGGTCCTAAAGGTGCTTGTGTTTAAACAGCCTTTCATCTCATTTTAAGTTTGAACAGCTAAATACTATGAAAGTCAATGGTTACAGGCTTCCAGCAATTTTCAAATGATCTACTTTTGTGTTTAACTAATGAAAGAAAGGGCGATTCAGTGGCGCAATAGGTAGTGCTGTCACCTCACAGCAAGAAGGTCACTGGTTTGAGCCTCGGCTGGGTCGGTTGGCGTTTCTATGTGGAGTTTGCATGTTCTCCCTGCGTTTGCGTAGGTTTCAAACACATGCGGTGCAGGTGAATTGGGTAAGCTCAATTGTCCTTAGTGTATTAGTGTGAATGAGTGTGTATGAATGTTTCCCAGAGATGGGTTGCAGCTGGAAGAGCATCCACTATGTAAAACATATGCTGGATAAATTGGAGTTCCTTCTGCTGTGGCGATTCCGGATTAATAAAGGGACTAAGCCAAAAAGAAAATGAATGAATGAATAATGAAAGAAACTCAAACAGATTTAAAAGGTTGACAGAATTGAAATTTTTTGAAAAATCACACCCCTTTAAGATGTTGTTGGCCTGATACTCCGTCTAGCAGTTTTTGTGTTGTAGCTGTATTGTTGTTTGTTAGTTTTTTAAAGAACATGTCCTGAATGAATGTCCCCTCAGATGACAGTAAAACTGTCCTCAAATAAACAAATCAACTCACCCTGATCTGAACAAAGATAATCCCGCCGATCAGCGATTTAACGTCCAAATCCTGAGGTCTCAGAGACTATTAACAAAAAAAAAAAAAAACACAGGTGCGTAAAAAAACTTCCCAGATCAAGCAGGTCAGGCGATGTCCACATAAATCCATATAATCAGACTGTACTATAATGTGTGTGTCTACAGCAAAGACATGACAAACTCACTCTGTGTTTTGGGAAAGTAATACTGCCTTCTGATTGGTCTGGGAGGATGAGGGTACAAGAAGATGCTGATGGTGTGTTTACTGTCTAGCGATTTCAACAGGGTTACTCTCGCACATAAACACTGAGAAGAATAGATGACCTTGAATAAACAAGATTTACAGCGTTTGTAATGCTTCAACACTAGAGGGAGCCAGTACGCCAAACCCGCAAGTTCTGTCAGAGCCCCATATAGCGAATGTTCAGAGCTATTTAACTAGTGCTGCAAAGCTGAAATGTTTATTTTATTCAGTTTACTTAAGGCACTTAATGTAGTCCAAACCATTTTCTGTGAACGTGTGAGACTTCTGATTCATAGCAAGGTTTAGTATTCTAAACAATAGACTTTTTTTTTTTTTTAACTCTTTGCGGAACTGATATTAAGTAAATACGGTAAGAAATGCAATACTGTTTGCCCTCATAAACGACGTCCTATTTACAGTATGACTTACAAAATGGCCGCTTTTACCTATTTTGGTGGATAACATCAAATAATAAATTAACTATGGTTTATTTATGGTTACTTAACAACGAAAACATTTTAATTACTTCTATATTTAGCCTATAAATTGTTAATATTTTTTTCAGAAAACAATGCATACGTTTTGAGCATTATCTGTTTTAACATACTGTAATTGACCATGTTTGGTTTTACATTTTAACCTGTTATAGTACAGCTTTAGTGCCACACATAATCTAGTCTAGTTCACTTTCTCTGGCAAAAACCAACATTGTTTGCAATAGCAAGCTAAACCCCACAACATTGTATATTCATAGCCTAGTGAGCTGCCTTTATTAATAGTATCTGGGCCGTTCACTTTAAGAGAAACATATGATCCTACCTTAAATGTAACCTCATATAGGAGTGAATTAGAACAATATACTTACTTAGGCTGTCGTTCTTTTACTTTGCACAAGTGTTAGCATACTAGTAAGTCAATTAATCAATAGATAGTAGGTTTATTAGTTAGGTTAAAAGCTTTTATTTGTGTTTTACAATTATTTTAATCACACACAGAACGGTTTTGTGTATTATTTTGTTTACTTCTGTGAGCTCGTCGCATTCTGAGATTTCCAACTTCATGAAAGATGATACTGAAAGCATGTCTTCTTAAAGTTGCTGCCTACATTTTTTTTAAAGTCTTGAAGAAAATATAGAATCAATTTAAGTACTAAAATATTAAAACTAAATTAAAATGTCAAATTTAAGCTTAATAGAAACAAAAATAGCATAATAATGATCAAACCCTAAACTAAAATGTATTAAAAATTAACTTAAATCAAAAGTGAAAATATAACAGAAAAGCCTATTCAACATTAATAAATACAATGATAGTAATTTAAATGACTAAAACAATATTCATGCTTTGAAAAAAATAATACGCTGGCCAATAGATTGCTATACGTCAAAGTAAACTGATTTTGCACTTGCCACTTAGTATTAATAACAATTTTTTGCAGTCAGAATATCATCTTATAAGCTGATTCCCCATGGTTATAACAGTTAACAATGAAACCTTCATTCAGTCTTAAAGTATGCAGGTAAAACTTTAAAGAGCATGTATTGTTTTTAATAGCATGGTGTGTATTTCTCCAACACTTTCCCAACTGAATGGTAGACAATTCTGATGTGTTTCCTGGTTCTGTTCACAGGTTTATGTTACAGTCAGTTGCTCTGGGTGTGTCTAGAGACACTCTAGACAAAAGTCGTCTTATATTTCACAGCGGTGTTTGTTTATCTGATGCCGCGGGGTGTAAAGTTTTTGAACGCACTGAACTGAAGTAAATCACCAGATTCAGCAGCTGCCAGTAACTCAGACCTTGTGACTTTTTGAGAAAATGCATCTTGTGAAGCATTATAGATGAACAGATTTCTTCTAAGGACTACAACTACACTGTAAAAAGGGTTGCCTTAAATATTTAATCTGAATTAACCTTATGAGTTTATTGAACTTATATTGTGTTAAACTGATTTAAAACAGCTTATGTAACTTATAAAATTAAGTTAAAACATGATTAACTTAGTTTAATAAGTTACAAAGAACTATAAACATATGTCATCATGACTAAGGGTGCTTTCATATCTGTGGTTCGGTTCATTAGGTCTGGACCAAGGGTAACAAATGATACATTGAAGCCTTTTCACACCACACTGATTGCTTAGGTTCGAACCAGTTGAAAAGAACCAAAATGTAGTCAGGTGACAAAATCCACATCACTCATTGGCCAAATGTTAATGAATGTATTTCCTAAACTGCTTTTTGATTGGTCAGAATTTAACGTGCGGAAAAATGCCGATGAACTCCTGCAAGTAAACAAACCGGCAGACACAAAATGTAGCTTTTTACTTTGGAGGGATGACTGCGCTCACTGCGACTGTGCTCGCTGATTGTATCCCTGCTCATAGTATACTACTGTTTGTATACATCACTTTAGACAAACTATACATTTCGAGAATGAAGCGCAACTGCGGCTGGAAATGGCAAAATTTATAATAAATAATTTAGCTAAACTACGACATGGTCATCATCAGGAAATTTTACCATTGATACATCAGGTAATGTTTTTCCCTCTCTCTATCTCTGTCTTTCGGTTTAAAATAGTCAGCAAAGCACTGTCAACAAATATTTTTCAACACAGCACATTGGCCTACGGCAGCTGGATTAGTCCAAAAAGGTGCAGTACTTTTTGCTGTTGCGTCTGTTTTAGTTTGGATCATGTTTTCACCAAAAACGAACCGCTCCAGGGTTCATTTGAAAGCATACAGAGACCTCCTTTTGGTGCGCACTCGAGTATGATTGATGCATTCACACCTGCCCAAACAAACTGCACTCTAGTGCGGTTCAGCCAAACTAAATAAAGCAGGTGTGAAAGCACTCTAACTGATCCTATAATTTAAACAAAGAATATGGACAAAATTAACTGTTGCATTAGAAAACACATTATACAAAAATTAAACCCAGTGTTTTTTTTATTTTTATATTTAACCCAATTTTGGATTGAAACAACTCTGGATTTTAGAGTGCTGTTTAAAACAACCCAGGCTCAGTGTGGAAACGTAGTCCCGCGGATGTTTCTGGAGACCAGCGGAATACGTCCTGGCGGGTACGTACGGCTGCATTTTTTGTTTTCGTGAATCCGCGAGAGGCCGCTGTTGCGCGCTTTTTCGCACCTCAGACGCCTGTTCTCGCGTGTACCCGCCGGAGGCCGCTGTCCGACTGACCGGATGATTGACTGCGCGACCAGCAAATCGGCAGACTAGCCCTCCTCCTTCCCTGAACCCAACCTTTTTTTACCGATCGACCCGCCCGCCCGCTCGCTTCCCTAAACCCGAGCAACAGTTTACAAAAGCCGTCCAAAAAAATAAAAGCCCTGATTTTTTTTTTTTACCACGTTTTCGGATTTCGCCGCGTTCTCACCCTGTTACGAAACTCGTTCACTTAATTTTTGGGATTCTGTTTTTGTCTTACCTGATTGCTGGAACTGCTCTTCCCCGGACTCGAAACCTGTCGCCGTGGTCGACTCCTCTCTGCATCTCGAGCCTGCCGATGTACACGCTGAGCTGAGTGGACAAACGGGTTGCAGCGGGGAAGCCCTCCACAAGGAGGTAAGGCAAGCGCGAAAGGGAACAGTGTCACACCGCCCCGTAGCGTTCGCTTGAAAAAAAAAAAAACGCAGCCGTACGTACCCCCCAGGACGTATTCCGCTGTCTCCAGAAACGTCCGCGGGACTACGTTTTCAGAATGAGCTTGGTTTGATTTAAAATGACATGTTAATTCAGAAATATATGAAAAAATAGCAAATATCCTAAAGGTTATTTCAATTTATTTAATTAATTAAATCATTACATTATTTTGTGCTTTGATATTTACAACAACAAAAAAAAAAAAAAACATGACATATGAATATGAAACAACTTTAGTTTGTAGTCTTAGACTCTAAAATCACCCAACATTATGATTACAAATGGACAAACCCAACCTTGGGTTCATGTTTAACTAAATAACACATTTTCTATCATACTATTTGGGTCTGTCCATATTTGACCAAAGGTTGGTTTAAAACATAGGTCTTAAACTCCTGGAGGGCCGCACCTCTGCACAGTTTTGTTAAACTATACAAAGATGTGACCCTCCAGGAATTGAGTTCGAAACCATTGGTTTACAATAACCCAGCATTATTTAGAGAGCAGTTTTCAGTCAAAAATACCTCAAGTAACACTTGACAACATCCTGAGAAGTGATCTGTACTTTAAAATGACAATTAAAAATATTTCAAACAATTCTTCATCTGTCACAGTTATTAACTTGCTTCTATTTAAAACAAAGTAGAAGCAACACTTAAAAGTTGCCAGAAACAATCCAAAGAAAAAAACAAAACAAGGAAAATGCAATGCATGACTAACTTTGCTACATCTAAATCCATTTGAAATGTTACATGTGTTTCTAAAACTTCTTAAAAAATGTTTGTTTCTCTTTTGTTAAAAGTAGAAATGCATTAAAAATGTGTCCAGAACATTGAAACAAGAAAAAAAAAGAAATAGCTCCAATGTTGTTACACATAAAGCCATTTAAAATGTTCCATTTTCTGCTCCACGTAGTACTTTTCTCCATTTTCTCTCATCTTTCAGTCTTTCATGTGCTTCAAAAAGCAGAATTAGAAATGTAATGTTAGTTTTTTTCCCAAAAATAATCTCGAAAATGAAATGTACGACTATCTTCCAAGTTATTTTAATAGACTTTTTTTTTTTTTTCTTTTAAGAGAAGTCCCATTCATTTCTCTAAAACACACACAAACATGCTTGCACATAACCACAAATGCAAATACACAGTCCTGCTGGATTTCAGAGATAAGCCACAGCGCTGCGGGCGGATGGATGACGAGAGGGCTGTATGAACGACTGCTGTCTGGAAGGCTGAATGAAGGACTGCTGTCTGGATGGTTGGTATGATTGCTCAATGAATGACGGTGGGCCGGACGGGCTGTACACTGACCGTGGCTGCGGGTGGTAGGCCACAGGTTGAGGCTGGTAGGCCACATATGGAGCAGGTGCATTCCTGGAGTACATATACTTTGGATCCGGACCCTTGTCTAGAGAACCACTGCAGCATATGAAGATGCATCCTCCGGCAAACAAGAACGCAGATGACACCCATCCGATATACAAAGCCTCCCCTAGTTCCCTACGCTGAGCGTCTATGAGCAGTGGATTATAGAAGTCCCGAATAATGGCATTCCCAGTCCAGGAGACAGGAATCAGGCAGCAGAAGCATCCGGCAAGGATCATGCATCCACTGATAATCAGAACCATTCGCTTGGCCCGATCGTTGTCCTGAATGCATGCCGTGCATTTCATCCCAACAATAGCGATCAGTAAACCCACACCAGTCAAAGCCACGGAGGTACACATGAGTCCTCGAGCGGCCTGGAGATCCGGAGTGAGCGCCAGCAGGGAGTCGTACACTTTACACTGCATCCGAATGTTGGCCTGCCGGTAGCAGTTCATCCACAGTCCCTCATAGCGGGTCTCCATCACGATGATGTTTTCTCCGATGAACGCGGTCACGCGCCACATGGGCATCCCAGTGCTGGCCGAGACCCCGATGAGGCCGATTATGGTCACGCACATTCCCACGATCTCCAGCGCACCGCTCGCCATGACTGCAGAGGTGTGTGTGGCGCAGGCTTAGATGTGGAGTGTTTGCATCCTGCTGATGGACGTTCACCTGTTCAGCCTCCGCCCTCTTCCTCAGGGGAGGAGGGAATGCTGTGGATGGTTGCTATGAAATCGAATCCCTCTGTTAGTGTTTGTGTGGTTTTGTGTTGCTCAGGGAGGAGGAGGAGGAGGAGTATGTAATCTGTGTTGATGTTTGCTCAACAGGCTTTGCTCTTTAGTAGAAAATACAAGAGTTACTGATCAGCCAGATACATGCAAACACACAACAGTTCTTAACTGCTTTAGTCAATGTTTAACACTGTTGGTGTAGTGCATCATTAAATTGCATGTTTTAGAAGTAGTTGGAAGTCAGATGATGCCTTAATGTTGATGTTTTACTTTTGAAGTTGATGTGAAGCAGTCAGTCAAGTCTGCATTGCTTAACAATTAGATTTTTACTTTAAAGGGTCATGAAACCCTGGACAAAAGTTTCTGGGAATTAAACAGAATTTATGTGTGTTGAACATCAATTAAAGCAGGGATTCTCAACCGTTGGGCCTCAGCGATCCTGCAGGTGGGCCACAAGATTATAATTAATTTAAATATTAAACTATAACTTTTTATACACTCTGAAATTAAAACTTATGTAGAGCCCTCTTTGTCAACTATAGAAGAACATACTGTGAAACATTTAAGGGATAAAGGCAATCTGTCTTTTTTTTATAATACACTTTTAGAGGGTTCAAAAGAAAGTTCAATGTCCTATTTAACCGCATGGAGAAATGACCTTCAGGAAAATATTTCTAAAGATGAATGGATGGATTCTTGTTTGTTTGCGCAAACATATAGTGTAAATACTAGATGCAGATTGCTGCAATATAAATGGCTCATGCGGACATACATTACCCCGGTTAAATTACATAAGTTCAACCCAAATATTCCTGACAGCTGTTTAAAATGTAAGCAAGATATTGGAACCCTTTATCATTGTATGTGGGAGTGTACTGAGATTCAAACATTTTGGAAGAGTATTCTGGTTATGATTGGTAAAGTGACTGAAGAAAATGTACCTTGTGATCCCAAACTCTGTCTATTTCATATGTATCCAGTAAATTTTGTGGTGAGCGCCAGTAAACGCAAACTAATTGACTTTAGTTTGCTTCAGGCCAAATGGGCTATTGCTTTAAAATGGAAGGAGATGCAAGGTCCTTCCTCAATACTCTGGATTAAAGAAATGACTAACAACCTCGCCATGGAAAAACTGACTTATGCAGTTAAAGGGAAACTTAAAGACTTTTACAATATTTGGACTCCATTTTTATGCTATTGTAACCAAGAGGACTTGACAGGGATGGACGACTAATACTCAACATTCACTTCTTCTTCGTATTGGGTATCTCCATTACATAATGTGATCTCCTAAAATTACTAAATACGCGATGAAGGTAAAAGGTTAAACTGTAAATTGGATGGCTGTGAATACTGGTGTACGGAAACTAGTGAGAGTTGTTTTTTTATTTTTATTAATTTTTATTTTTATTTTTTAAATTATTATTATTATTTTTTTTTGGGGGGGGGGGGTTTAAAGTTCTGCAAGGTTCTCTTATGTGTGTTTTTTCTCTTTTATTTAAATGTATTATGTGTTCAAAACAAATGCAAATAAATATATTTTGAAAAAAAAAAAGAAAAAAAAACTATAACTTTTTGAATTCATTATTAAATAAGTCATATTCCAATTATAGTAGTAGTGGCATTTCCTGTTTTCTGTGGTTGAACAGGCTAATTCAGACTTCAAAAACAGCCTCACTGGTAAGTACAGACATAACTGTGACTTAAATTTCCAAATGCAGCACGTCAACTGGGACTATGTTCCAGGCCCGGATTGGCTAATCGGGAGGACCGAGAGAATTCCCGGTGGACTGGTCCGTTTTTTGGCCACGAGGGCCGGTGTCCCTAGCTCCAGAATCTGTCGCTCTCAGCAGTCACACTTTTTAAAAATAAATATTTATTTACTTGACCACAGCCTTCTTATTCATTATTTTACCGCAGCTCTGCTCTTTTTAACTATTTTCTCGTAGCCTTGTGAATAATATAAGTAGATAAGATAGATGTAAGAAGATAAGTCACTTCTCAATGTACAGCTGTTGTGGTACAGTGGTTAGCACGTCAGGTTATGACGCTGCCAACCTGTGTTCGGTCCTCGCCTGAGAAACATTTTTTTTTTTTTTCATTTTTATTGTTAAGACATATAATACTGTAAGGGTTGTTGAACATTTGAAGTTCTAAAGCAGCTGTTTTCTCAAAAAAAGACGTGATAGTGTAATTACAAGCTGAATTGGAAATGACCTTATTTTAATATAGTCAGTGGTGAACTGAGGTGGGCCGGTCTAAGGCTTGAAACTCCAGGGCTGAAAAAGAGTCCCACTCCGGCCCTGCTATGTTCTCAGTTGTATAAATTAAACAGTGTAAAAGTAATGTAAAGGTAACGATGATTAGAGTAATAACCAGCTCACGCGTCCTTCACGTCTGCTAAGCGTACTGCATCAGAGTCGTACAAGTTCGTTGATTCACAAACTATGCGTGTTGTCTTTGTGTAAACACTTTAAAACATCTGCATAGTTGTCCAAATTAACGTCTGACGAGTGTTTTATAACTGACGACGCGCATCCGTAGATCTAGCAAAACTCGGTGGTGTTTTAGTAGTGAACAGCTGCAACGAACTGCAATAAAGACCAGCTACAAACCAAACCACCTTCAGATCTATATTTCAACAGATTTCTCGAGTTTTTACTGTATTTTACATTTAGGGTTAGGATTAGGTTATTTATTTTAATAGATAAAGATCAATATAAGTCAGTCTAATTCAAAGCAGCAGCAGTTTTTGCATTCTCCTGTAGTCCTGTCAGGTTCCCTTACTGAAGTAAAGAATTCAGGAGCTTTGAACCTGTCACTGCATTTTTTTATTATTATTAATATATATATATACAGTTGAAGTCAGAATTTCTAGCCCCCCTAAATTATTAGACCGCTTGTTTATTATTTCCCCAATTTTTGTTTAACGGAGAAATAACTAATTTCTAATAACTGATTTATTTTATCTTTACCGTGATGACAGTAAAAAATATTTGACAAGGTATTTTTCAAGACACTTCTATACAGCTTAAAGTGGCATTTAAAGGCTTAACTAGGTTAATTAGGTAAATAGGCAGGTTAGGGTAATTAGGCAAGTTATTGTATAACAGTGGTTTGTTCTGTGGATTATCGAGAAAAAATATAGCTTAAAGGGGCTAATAATTTTGTCCCTAAAATGGTTCATAATAAATTAAAAACTGCTTTTATTCTAGCCAAAAATAAGACTTTTTCGAGAAGATAAAATATTATCAGACATACTGTGAAAATGTCCTTGCTCTGTTAAACATCATTTGGAAAATATTTTAAAAAGAAGAAAAAAAATCAAAGGGGGCTAATAATTCTGACTTCACATATATATATATATATATATATATATATATGTATATATAATATTTGATATTACATTATACATTATATATCTACATACACACACACACACCCACACACACACACACACTTGAAGTCAGAACTATTACCCCCCCTAGGTTAACTAGGCAGGTTAGGGTAATTAGGCAATTTATTGGATAACGATGCTTTGTTCTGTAGACTATCGAAAAAAACTTGCTTAAAGGGGCTAATAATTTTGTCCCTAAAATGGCTTTTAAAAAAATTAAAAACTGCTTTTATTTTAGCCGAAATAAAACGAATAAGACTTTCTTCAGAAAAAAAAACATTATCAGACATACTGTGAAAATTTCCTGGCTCTGTTAAACATCATTGGGGAAATTTAAAAAAATAATAAATCAAAAGGTGACTAATAATTCTGATCAAAACTGTATGTATGTATGTATGTATGTATGTATGTATGTATGTATATATATATATATATATATATATATATATATATATATATATATATATATATATATATATATATATATATATATATATATATAT